AGTGGTGGGGTTTTTGGCTTATTTCAAAGTGTCAGAAGGATATGGATAGCAGAAGGAGTCAAGGGGGAAAGAAATCAACCTCTGAAGTGTGGAAAAGGGAAAACCAGACATCTCAATAGGAAACTCTTAAAAAAAAGGGCTAGGAAAAAAAAAAATCTCTCTTGCTTCAGGGTGGAATGTCAGCGGAATTCGTGCGGCCTCTATAATGTCACTCTCACATCAGGTCATCCAGACCACTTCTCTCCATTAGGTTCTGCTGTGTGTGCCAGTATGGTCTTTGGGATTCCTAACAAAATGGTTCAGGGGAGGGGACAATGCTATTACCAAATCCCTTTAGAGAGCCCACTTTCTGAGGGTGTGTTCTCTTGCAGGGAGGGACATAAAATAGAAGAATGTGGTCCCCAACCTCAGAATGCTGAGGTTCAAGCCCCAGTTCTGTAATTTACTTGCTGTGTGACCTTGATTTACTTATCTCAGCCTCAGTTTCCTTGTGTTTGTAATATGGATAATATTATCTTGGGCTTCATTCCTAGGGTTTTGTAAAGATTCAATGAATTAATTCATGTAAAGCTTTAGAACACTGATTTATACATAAACACTCAATGTTATAGATAAGCACTCAATGGTAGTCATCACTTTATTGTTGTAAGTTATTAAATAACTGAGCATTTTGCTTTTTAAGCAGTTTCACTTTTAAATTTCTTATCGGAGGAGTTTTGTGGCATAAGTGGAAATAATGGGGAAACTGAGACTCATGCTGAATGGCTGACTTGTGTTCAGGGAGTAAATGGCATTGTTGGGGCCAGAAACCTTATCTAATGGATAATTCTTTTGACTGCAACCAAATGATATCCTTGGTAACATTCTTATAGCTTATATCTATGAGGCTTTGTCAAACCTCCTGCAGAATGATTCTGTACACACCTTAGAGTCAGGTAAGGGATTGGGAATTCAGACAGTCCTCAATTTATAAACAGAAACTCTTTGACCTTTGCATTAAGGAATTGCTGGTCCCTCTTCTTCCTTGCCCATATCTAGTCACTAGTTTCATAGGACCTTTCCTTTACCAGCTCTTCATCTGACTACTGTCTCTGTTCCCCAATACCACTATTTTAATATTTCAACTTTCCATCTAGTTTCTACTGCTGTCTCTCTCATTCTGAAACTGCATTGTCCTCTATCAAATTAATCTTCCCTCCTGTAACCAAATTTTATTACCATGATCAAAACCCTCCAGTAATTCCCTCACTGCCTAAATGATTAAATCCAAACACAAGCTAGTACTCAAGGCAGTCTCATCCAGTTATCCAATTCCAAATAAACTTTCTCATTTTTATTTCATTGAACTCCCTACCACAGACAATCCAGTTTGTCTATTGGAACAAACTGGGCATTTTCCCACCTCTATGCTTTTACTTACACAGTTCTTTCTTTTTCAGATCTTGCCAGGGTCCAGCTTATGAGGTCCAGTATTGGGGTCAAATCCTGAACCTTGAGTAAGTTATTTAACATCTGTAAATTTCAGTTTCTTCATCCCATAATGTGGTAAATTAAGTGACTCAAATTTGTGAAAAGAGCTTTCCTTCTGGCACCCAGTAAATACTTGATTATCTAATATACTCTATCCTCTGTTCCTTCTAACCCAACTCCGCCCTGAAAAGAATCCTTACATTTGCCTTTCTGAGCCTTCTACTATATACTTATTCACTGGAAGCATACTATATGTTAGGTATTGAGGAGAATACATACTTTTTATTTTTTGATATCAACGCATTGTATAATTACATGAAGGCCAATGGAGAAATTCATCTTAAATCTAACTATTAGGAAAACATTGCTTTTCTTGAAGAATGGACATTTTGCCCTCTTCCAAATACAATGTAAGCAAATGACCATCTCACTTTGATTGCCAGAATGCTCACTTTGCATCCCTACCTGAATAACCATATGGTATACCATAATTTGTCACGATCTTGATCTTCTATGCACTTTCTTCTTTCTCTAATGCTGATTTGTAAATATTTTCAGTTTTCTATTTTATCATATCTTGTAAGCTGCCTTGAGTCATTTTTGACATATAATAGATTTATAATAAAATAGATGACCATTATCTATGATGGCAGCTAGAAGAAATAGCTTCTAACTTATTTGATTATGATCCTAGTTTTCCATTTCTGTGGAGTTACAGACCCTTCAGGGATGAAATGAAAGACTACGGGTAGATATGACAGAATAGAATCATAACAATTAGCATTTATTGAGCATTTACCATATGTCAGGCACTGTTTTCATCACTTTACATGAATAAACCTACCTACTCCTTACAATAGTCTCATGAAGTGGCAAGCCAAGAGGCCAACATCCCAGGAACTCTAAAGGAGAGTCAGTTCTAAGAATTAATGTACATAATTCAAGGCAGGACAAAAAGCACCAAAATATTTATGAGGTTATCTCACCATTCAAAAGAATAAAGTGACTGTACTATTAAACCTTCCTGACTTAGATTAAAACTAGAGTTCAGGCCTGCATTGTACTAGGTATTAGATGGGGCTTCTAAGAGATTTAAGACAATTTCTAACTTCAAAAAAGTTCATGGGAAAAAGCACCTGACAGAACTAGAGAGCAGAGTAAGGAAGTATGTAACACAGGCGGATGATGTAGATAATCACTGTAAAGGACGTCTAAGCAGGTGGGGAACTGAAAGTACCGCAGAGGAGGCAAGACCTGAGCAGGGCCTTTTATAAAGGGTGGATAGATTTTGGAGACACAGAGAAGAAAGTAGGGCATGTAAAAGAGGATAACAATGGAATAGTCTGAAAGGAAGCCCAGTGTGAAGAGAAAGGGTATAGTGGAGACAAAAGCAGGCCTGCCCAATTGTACTGGGGAGTAATGGAAAATAAGTAATGGAAAATAGACCCAACTGTGGAAGGTCTTCAAGTTAAAGCCATTTGAACTTTTTCCTGGGGACAATGGGAAACTGGATTCTTTCTGAACAAAGTGGTAGTTCAGTCAGGCAGCTAGATAAAGACAGGGAGACAGGCGCAGCAACAGTGTGTTTACTCTGGTAATCCCGGCCCAAACCACCCAGGACTTAGTAGTGGCAGTAGGACTAGAGAGAAAGAAATCAACTTAGTAGTGGCAGTAGGACTAGAGAGAAAGAAATCAACTATTCAGTCATTTCAAATAGACCCTAGCAGACTGATTACCCAGGATAAAGAGGAATCAGGAAACAATAATTACAGGGCATTTAGTTGACTCTTCAGCACTTCGTGATGTTTTATAGGGATCAGAAATAAGATTTCTGTCTTTAGTAAGCTTACACTCTAACTGAATAACCTTAAGTATTATAAGTCAATGAAATAAAATTATTCTGGTCCAATTCTTGCCCAAAGTCAGAGCTGATCATTGTTAATCAGAGAAATGCTGGGAGGTAGGAAAAGTACAGATCAGCACAGAATCGTGGATCCCAGAAGCTCAAATTTTAAGGCATAAGAGTGGCCGTAAGTGCCAATTCTGCAAATGTCAAGTAGAAAAAGGACTGAGAAATAGGCACCGAGTTTGTCCTTGTTTGTAAGATCAGCCTTACAAGATTGGTGAGAGTCAGAACCAGAGGGTGTAAATTTCATGAAGTCTGTAAACAAAAGAAAATATTTAAAAATAGGGCAGTATTTTTTTTAAGATAAGGGAGGAACTAAATGTCTGTAAGATTTTTTTAGGACATTCTTGGTAAGGATGAGATAACACTAGGATTAGTTAGGAACATTAGTAGAACTATGAGTTATACTTTGAGAAAAATACACTATAGCAAAAAGGGTGAGGGAGGAAGAAAGAAAAATCTGTCTTTGTAAGTCCAGAGACTGAATTTGCCTTAATACTATTATGCCCAAGCTGGTCGGAGTTTTTTGTTTTCAGAATAGAAGCCAGCTCCTTCTCTTCTGCTCCTGGAACCAGCAAGCATGAAAACCATGCATGCGCGCGTGTGCGCGCACACACACACACACACCCACACAGAGGATTTTTCCTCTTTTAAGTGAAGGGGCTGATGGGATTGGGAAAGAGATGGTTCGCTGGTTGTTCAGGGACCAAGCTTCATGGAACAGATAAGGTGAGGAACTGCAAGTGTTAGGTAGCTGTATATTATAAGATTAGAGTCCTACAGAATATTAGGTTGAATATGTTCGGTTTGTAAAGTCACCCCCTTTTTGGATTGATCACTCATTTGAACGTTTAGTTTACAAAATGAAAGGCAGGCTAACTTGAAACTGGCTTATAGCTAGCTAGTAGGGAAGGAAAATTCAGACAAGTATGTATGTTTCTTTTCAGTTGTGGGAGGTTATGCTATGTGCTCTTGTGCTAACATTAATGAAAGCTCAGATATTACTCTTTAGTGTGAAGCTGCTGATGTCTTATGAGAGTTGAACTCTGACTGAAGGCTTTCCCACAGTTATTACACTTATAAGGCTTCTCTCCCGTATGAGTTCTCTGGTGAATAATAAGGGAGGAGCTCCGACTGAAGCCCTTTCCACATTCTCTACACTCATGGGGCTTTTCTCCGGTGTGAATTCTCTGATGTTCAACAAGGGATGAGCTTCGACTGAACACTTTGCCGCAGTCACTGCACTCATAGGGGTTCTCCCCAGTGTGTGTTCTCTGATGTTCAATAAGAGATGAGATCCAACTGAAAGCTTTCCCGCATTCACTGCATTCATAGGGATTCTCTCCACTGTGTATGCGTTGATGCTGAATTATGGTTGAACGGTCACTGAAGGCTTTCCCACATTCATTACATTTGTAAGGTTTTTCTTGAGTATGAGTTCGCTGATGTTGACTAAGGTTAGTACTTCGGCTAAAGGCTTTTCCACATTCACTACATTCATATGGTTTTTCTCCAGTATGGATTCTCTGATGTAGACTGAGGTGTGTACTCCGGCTAAAAGCCTTTCCACATTCACTGCATTCATAAGGTTTCTCTCCTGTGTGAGTTCTTTGATGTTCAATAAGGTGTGTACTTCGGCTAAAAGTTTTCCCACATTCGCTGCATTCAAAAGGCTTTTCTCCACCATGACTCCTACTGTGGACAATAAGGTCTGATTGGTAACTAAAGGCTTTAGCACATTCATTGCATTTACAAGATTTCCTCTGTGAGAAAAGTTTTTCATGTTTAATTAAGTCTGAATTATCTTTGGAGTTTTTCCTAGATATGGGGGACCTAGTTCCCTTTGGAATTTTCTGCTTTGTATTAAATTTTGAGCTTAGACTAGATTCGGGGTCTCTCTCCCTAGTGAAAATTTCTTTGAGGGTCATTGACACTTTTCTGATTGCTGTTTTCTCGAAAGAAGATTTCTTCTGTATAGGACATTTTGTCTGCCTTGATAACTGGCCCTCCCTTTTACAGGCTTCTTCATCTGTAGCACGTTGGGCAGTGTTCCCTCTGACACTTTCCATTGCTGACCCTGAATACTCTAGTTCTTCAGAAATAGCCTGATTGGTGTTGATGCTTTAGTTCAGTTCAAATCTCCCTATCTGAAAGACATTTAAAGTGCAAATGTCATCTGTGTCTAGTATGGAGAGCATGGAAAATACACCAGCAGAAAAAAAAATACATCTAATTTGCAATTTATGCACACTAGCAACTTTATATGGGGAGAAGATAAAACATAACAATGAAAGAGAGGTGAATAAGGCCAGAATAGATAACAGACAAAGTTTTCACAGTGGACACAGTGAGCACAGAGACATCAAGAAATATGGGTAGGGGACTGGGTAATATGCTGAGCCAAAAAAATGGAAATGAGCAGACATACCAACTGATGAGCAAAGAATGGAGGATTAGAAAGTAAAACGAGCCATTAGCTATTGAAGCCAATTAGTTATGGTAAATGAGAAAAAGGAAAGGGATGAGAAGAGTAAAGACTCTCAAATGTAGAAAAGAACCCCCCCAAAATGT